GTCCCACTGTTGGAAAAAAGACATGTGCTGAAGAGGTTACAATTTGCCAAAGAGCACATTGACTGGCCTAAAGAGAAATGGCGCAACATTTTGTGGACTGATGAAAGTAAGATTGTTCTTTTTGGGTCTAGTGGCCGGAGACAGTTTGTCAGACGACCCCCAAACACTGAATTCAAGCCACAGTACACTGTGAAGACAGTGAAGCATGGTGGTGCAAGCATCATGATATGGGGATGTTTCTCATACTACGGTGTTGGGCCTATTTATCGCATACCAGGGATCATGGATCAGTTTGAATACATCAGAATACTTGAAGAGGTCATGCTGCCTTATGCTGAAGAGGAAATGCCCTTGAAATGTGTGTTCCAACAAGACAACGACCCCAAACACACCAGTAAAAGTGCAACATCTTGGTTCCAGACCAACAAGATTGACGTTATGGAGTGGCCGGCCCAATCCCCGGATCTTAATCCAATAGAAAACTTGTGGGGTGACATCAGAAATGCCGTTACTGAGGCAAAACCAAGAAATAGAGAAGAACTGTGGAATGTAGTCCAATCATCCTGGGCTGGAATACCTGATCACAGGGGCCAGAAGTTGGGTGACTCCATGCAACACAGATGTACAGCAGTTCTCAGAAACAGTGCGACTACAACCAAATATTCATTAAGTCATTCAAAGGAAAGCAAAATCTTCAAACATGTTTCAGTTTATATAGTGAATGTTTGAGTTTGTAAAGAAGAATACAAACACTGCTATTTTTTTGAACCGTCTAATATTCACTTTTCTTCAATTTGTTTAGAGGAACAACACAAATTTGATCTATTTTTCTTCATGTTTTGATTTGGAATAGAATGTGTCGTGTTCCCAATGCATTTGTGTGTATGGAAATAAAAGCTATTAGAAGGATTTTGAGCTTTATTCACTTTTTTCAACACACTGCTATTATTTTGAACACAACTGTACATCAGTAGACTTCTCAGGTACAAAGTCTTCTACCATAGAGAAGAGCCACAATGGTGTACTCTAGTTTTGGAGTTATGTCAGTAGACTGAGACTTCTCAGGTACCAAGTCTTCTACCATAGAGAGGAGCCACAATGGTGTCCTTTAGTTTTGGAGTTATGTCAGTAAATGGAGACTTCTCAGGTACCAAGTCTTCTACCATAGAGAAGAGCCACAATGGTGTCCTTTAGTTTTGGAGTTACATCAGTAGACGGAGACTTCTCAGGTACCAAGTCTTCTACCATAGAGAAGAGCCACAATGGTGTTCTTTAGTTTTGGAGTTACATCAGTAGACTGAGACTTCTTAGGTACCAAGTAATCTACCTTAGAGAGGGTACCATCCTCAATCATCAGTAGACCATGCCAAAGCAGCTGCAACTATGGGGAAGTTAGGATGTGGAAACACTTGAGCCTCTGGGTCAGCCATCATGGTTGAAATTATTCCCATAAACACACACAGTAGCATTGAATTTCTCCCTGGATAATATAAAGGAGGAGCTACCCTGAAAGCATTAAGGAGGCAACGGACAGTAATCCAGGCCATTGGTGTCAGGACCTTTATAGGGTACACTGCCAGTTCTCACAGAAATGCTGACGGATCTAGTCCAGCAGAAGGGAGGGACCTTTGGATTTATGCTTTGGCATTCTAAGCAAACTGATCACCCAATTTTAGTAACATTAATATTTCCAGTATCTGATCACTGATGTCACTTACAACCTGGTGACTGCACTGCCACCCAACACGCAGATTTAAAATGCTGGCTCTGTAAAGGAGACACGGACACCAGATTGGTAGAATCATTTTATAAACATTTCACATATACAGAGGAATTACAGAACGTACAGATACAGTCTTCATTATGACTGAGTGCAAAACCAACATGGAGGATTCTCAGTGGTCCTGGACTGGGACTGTTATAATTGGATCACCACTGCCACCTAGTTGTAAGATTATGTATGCACGTGTATAGCCAAATGTTTTGGATGGAGCAGGGAAGGTTTAAATCTGACCTCTGGCCTTCCCTTTGGTCACAGTTAAGATAGAAACGGCTTATTCTGATTTAATTGCACACTGTGAGCTTCTCACAATGTGCATTAGAAGTTGCATCAAGTCAGAGCCGTCTCATTTCCTGCCTGGGATTTTATGCCCAATTACATCAGTGTGCATGAAGTCTACATTCAGGCAGTTGCCAGCATGAATCAGTGGATTCTCCTGACCACACCTGTGAGGTAGACCCCATAGAAGTCTATAGGACCCTTCTCCAACTAGGTAGAAGGGCACCACGGACTTCTATGGGGATCTACTGGGCAGGAGACAGATGATGCGTGGTGTTGAATATAAACAATTCCCACAAGATGTATGTGGTACACCTTTTCCTACTGTCCCCATTGCCAATCCTCAGTAGCCAGCAATTCCTGGCTGTCAACATGAATTGCTAAGTAACTCTAGTCAACCCTAATTAACTCCTTCTTTCCCTTCTCCCCTCTACTATTGGACATAGAGCACACTACATACATCCAAAAATGAAAAGTACACTGAATGTATGTGGGTACGCCCTTTCTACTGTCCCCATTGCCGATTCTCAGTTGCCAGAAATTCCCGGCTTTCTTCCCCTGCTCCCCCTAACTATTGGAATCGGAGCATACTACATGCATCCAAGAAAATGAAAGTACACAGAACATATGTGGTATGCCATTGTCCTACCACTGCCAATCTGGGCTGTCAAATGAATTGCTGTTCAACCCAAATCAATGCCTCCTTCCCCATAAACAAATGAAAATCAGAAAATAATGGTTCTTTCTTCTAACCTATAATATTAACCAATGGAGACAGAGCATACTGTATACGTCCAAAAAAATGAACAGTACACTAGACGCATGTGGTATGCCCTTTTCTACCATACCCATTTCCAATCCTCAATAGCTAGCAACTCCTGGCTGTCAACATGAATTGCTATGTAACCCTAGTCAGCCCAAATTAAATCCTTCTTCCCCTTCTCTCCTTAACTACTGGACATAGAGCATACTACATACATCCAAAAATCTGAAAACTACACAGGACATATGTGGTACGCGCATTTCTACTGCCCCTGTTGCTGATCCTCAGTTGCCAGCAATTCCCGGCTGTCAAAATGAATTCCTATTTAACCCTAGTCAACCCTAATTAACTCATTCCCCTTCAAGAAGAACCATAGACAAACTTTTTTTTTCCCATTTTGGATAGAGCAAGGGAGGGTTATGAACACTGTCAGTTTTTTTTTTTCACCCCATGTGTGCCATTGCGGAGATTGCTCTTCACTTCCTGTCCTATAGCCAAACAAGAAGTGAAGGGAAATCCCTACAAATTAAGGGAATCCCTTGGGGACCCCCAGGTCACCAGAACTAGTGTCCCCATTGGAAGATGTCCCCTCTATTACTTTTCTGGGGTCAACCCAAAATTTGGGATTTTATTTTACTTTCAATGATAATGGTAAACAGGACAAATAGAAAGGGTGAATCTCCTCAATGAGGACACAGACAGCAATTAAAACTGACAGGGGTTCTAATTTCTCTCCACTCTATACAAAACTAAAAAAATGTTTGCCTTTACCCATATGGAAGAACAATACATTTGAAATATATTTAAAAAATATTTCTTCCCAAATATACTGACATATATTGAATATGGCCACAATTGTAGCATTTGAAATATTTAAAAAAAAAAAAAAAAAATATTATATATATATATATATATATATATATATATATATATACACATACACATACATACACACATATATATATATATATATATATATACACATACATACACACATATATATATATATATATATATATATACACACACACACACACACACATACTGTATGCTGAAATGAGTTTTTATTACCCCTCCAACTTAGATTGTAAGCTCCAAGGAGCAGGGCCCCCCTAACCCTCTTGTATTGAACTGTATTGTTGCTGTATTGTCTCCCGTTATATTGTAAAGCGCTGAGCAAACTGTTGGCACCATATAAATCCTGTATAATAATAATAATAATTATAAAATATATGAAAAATATTTTTAAAAACACATTTCAAATATACTGTATGTCTTTAAAAATATAAATCTACATTTCTGGAATGCATTTACAAATATTGTAAAAATAGATCTTAAAATTACTTTTTTATGTTAAAAAAACCCAGAAGAATATATGTTTAAAAAAATATATTTTTAAAAATATATATTTTTTAAATGTATTCTTCAGACTTTTTTTTTTACATATAAAAACAGTAATTTTAACATATATTTTTACATATATTTGTAAATGCATTCCAGAAATGTAGATTTCTATTTCTAAAGACATACTGTATATTTGAAATGTATTTTTAAAAAATGTTTTCATATATTTTGTAATAAAAACGCATTTCAACATACAGTATTATATATATTTATATATATATATATATATATATATTTTTTTTTTTTTTTTTTAAACATATTGAATATGGCCAAAATTGTAGCATTTCAAATATATGTCAATAGCCTTCTTCTATTTGTGAAGGATTCCAGAGATGATATCTCATTGTTGGCATCCCTGGGTCTATCTTATGGCAGCAACCACTACAAGGAAGTCAGATGGCAACAGTTTGTACTGATCATAAATCATTGGGGTGTCCACTGGTGAGAGAAGGACCCCTTTATTATTGGAGGGGGTGACACTGGCTGCAGAGAAATCCCAATAATAGTCTCTGGAGGCAATAATGGGACTCAACCAACCAGTGCCCAGCGAGAATTCAGATTATCAGCTTTGGGTGAAGTTGGCCCTGCAATCAGAGCTGCCGCCACAGTCCTCCTTGGTCCCCAATTTCTGTCCAAAGATGAATATACGGAATGCACGAGAGGAAATGTGTAGTGCATGCATGACAGTTATTGTAAACATGGAGCCCTCCCCCGCCTCAGGACATGTACACAGGGGCACAATGGGGTGAGGTGCTTGGCAGAAGGATGCCAGCTCTATGGAGTCTCTAGAATCCCATCCTCGGTCTCCAGCTCGGCCAGCTGCCTCCTCAGTGCGTTGACTTTGACTTGCAGCTCCTTGTTGTACTCTATTATGTGGATCATCTCTTCATAGGCGTCCTCCAAGTACTTAGAGGGCCGATTCCAGCGCAGGAACACACCTGGGTGGTGGGGGGGGGGGAGAGAAGAAGTGTCACTAAGCATACTTTGTCTAGGTACTAAAGTGGAACTTTACACCGTTCCTCCATCAGCAATCTGTATGTACTTGAATTAGACAGCAACAAGTCTGCCCCTTGCTGCCATAGTGGTGTAATTACTTCTGCTTGTCACCAGCTAAGTGCCCATTTTTGGCATCCTGGCTGCCCAGAGATTCATAGAGCACCGTGCCGCGATGACGTGTTGTGATGATGTCATCATCTCTCTCCAGTGAACAGTTCTGCTCTCACGATTACCCTTTTCCTTCCTGAAACCCCATGTGCTATCACAAAGGGTTAGGAAACGCCTCTTAAAGCTGAACTTACCTCCCTCATGTTATCCAGCCCCTGCCCCCCGTTTTACCTGTATTCCTGGATTATCTTCAAAACACATACTCAGTTTTAAGGTGAATGTTGAATTGTCGGGGCAGACAGCCCCCTTCATCAGGGCTAGAACAAGACAGAACCAATATCCTAATAAATACAGAGCATAAATACCAGGATCATTGTCATTTGTAACATTTCCCTTATTCTAAACAATGATTATTACTAGATTTATTCTTTATATATATCAAGAATATGGTTCTGTCTTGTTCTAGCCCCGATGAAGGGGACTGTTTGCCCTGAAACATGTTGGATGCCTTTTATCTTCCTGTTTTGATACTGCTATCAGTGATAAATATTAACTCTTAGGACAACCCCCTGATGATCTTCTTGTTGATTTTATTTGGTTTATATAAGTTGGAAAGTTTTGGCCCCTGTAGGGGCCCCCGTTTTGTGGTGGAGTTATATAGCCCAACCAACACCTCCTGAGTTACGGATATAGGATCACAGAGTAGCACCTCATGTCTTTGCTATCTTAAACATCACTGCACCATGGCAACTTGGAGTGCAAAGCAAGGTGGGCCTCTCTTGGACTGCTCATGCACAAGATTTATTCACAGTGTCAGTTGAGGTAAGAAGCAGGGTTATTAATGTAATTGGCAGTCATCTACTGGAGTGATCCCTGCCAGTCATTATAGTCAGAAATTGGACTGCTGTGAGCAACCATCACCAGGAATGACCCCTCCCAGACCCTATAGGTATGAATTGGACTGCTGAGAGCCACCGTCACTGAGAATGACCCTTGTCAGTAACTATAGATTTGAATTAGACGGCTGTGAGCAGTCATCATTGGGAATGACCCCTGCCAGTCCCTATAGATATGAATTGGACTGTTGTGAGTAGCCATCATTGAGAATGACTCCTGTCAGTCCCTACAGGTAGGAATTGTACTGCTGTGAGCAGCCATCACCTGGAATTACCTATGCAAGTCCCAATAGGCAGGGGATTGTACTGCTGTGAGCAGTCATCCCCTGGAATGACCCCTGCCAGTCCTTATAGACAGGAAATTGACAGCTGTAAGCAGCCTTCTCCTGGAATGACCCCTACCAGACACCATAGGTAGGAATTGGGCAGTTACGTAATCACATGGTTAGTCTGGCTGAAAAAAAGACAAAAGTCCATCCAGTTCAACCAAAAAAAAAAAAAAAAGTTATAATCCTATACCCACAGTTGATCCAGAGGAAGGCAAAAAAAACCCCAGCAAAGCATGATCCAATTTGCTCCTGCTGGAAAAAGAAACCTTTCCGTGTTTGGAGATTACATTTCTTTTCCTTCAGACGTAAAGAGTGCCCACTTGTCCTCTGTGATGACCTCAGGGTGAATAGCTCTACACCGAGTTCACTATATGAACCACTGATGTATTTATACATGGAGATCATATCCCCCCTTATGTATTATACATGGAGATCATATCCCCCTTATGTATTATACATGGTGATCATATCCCCCCTTATGTATTATACATGGAGATCATATCCCCCCTTATGTATTATACATGGAGATCATATCCCCCTTTATGTATTATACATGGAGATCATATCCCCCCTTATGTATTATACATGGAGATCATATATCCCCCTTATGTATTATACATGGAGATCATATCCCCCCTTATGTATTATACATGGAGATCATATCCCCCTTATGTATTATACATGGTGATCATATCCCCCCTTATGTAATATACATGGAGATCATATCTCCCCTTATGTATTATACATGGAGATCATATCCCCCTTATGTATTATACATGGTGATCATATCCCCCTTATGTATTATACATGGTGATCATATCCCTCCTTATGTATTATACATGGTGATCATATCCCCCCTTATGTATTATACATGGTGATCATATCCCCCCTTATGTATTATACATGGAGATCATATCCCCCCTTAATCTCCTCTTCTCATGAGAGAATAAATTCAGTTCCTCTAAATCTTTCCTCATAGCTGATCTCCTCCATGCCTCGCATCAGTTTGGTTGCCCTTCTCTGTACTTTCTCCAGTTCCCCAATGTTCTTTTTGTGAATTGGTGCCCAAAACTGAACTGCATATTCCAGATGAGGTCTTACTAATGATTTGTAATGGGGGAATGATATCTCTCTCTGGAGTCTATACCTCTTTTAATACAAGAGAGGATTTTGCTCTCTTTAGAAACCGCAGCTTGGCATTGCATGCCATTATTAAGCTTGGGATCTACCAGAACCCCCAGATCCTTCTCCACCATTGATTCCCCCAGTTGTACCCCCCTAGTATGTATGATGCATGCATATTCTTAGCCCCCAAGTGCAGAACCTTGCATTTATCAACATTAAACCTCATTTGCCACATAGTTGAGAGCAACCATCACCAGTAATGATCTCATCCAGTACTCATAGATAGGAATTGGCTGCTGTGAGCAGCCATCATTTGAAATGACCCATGCCAGTCACTATAGTAGGATATGGACTCCTCTGACCAGCCATCACCTGGAATGACCCCTGACAGTCACTACAGGCAGGAATTGGAAGGGGTTCACAACTAAATACAATACAGAATAATCCTTCTAGCATTCACTTCAGTGTTAGGTCCGTTCTCGGTTACAGAAGCTCTGTGAAATAGGGACAAGGGCTCAATATAACGCTTGCCGACTTCCACCAATGTCACAGGAGCTCATTCACTCCCTGCAGACCAGGAAACATACAGGTTTTGTAGATGGTGCAGGAATTATTGACATCCCTAGGCACTTCCTGCCTACCATGTTCTGAATAGCTAGGGGCAGACCAGGAGGCATGGCTGCCTACTAGAGGACATAGGAACCCTGTACTCAATACAATCAACACAGCAGGGGCTGCTAAACTGATTGCAGGAAAGTACATCTCTCTTAGTCTGTGTCCAGAGTGGACACCCTGCCTACAAAGATCCCTCCCTGGCTTGGAAAACTCATCATCTTGATAAATGAGATCTGCAGTATTCATACCTTCCCATAACTGAAGGCTCTGGGGAGCCACCGATGGCCAGATCACCAACCCATTGGCTTCGAATAAGGGATTGGTGAATTTGTGGAGCTCCGTTGGCTGGTTCATCCAGGACCAGAGGGATAAAGTCTTCTGCTGGAGCTTCAGTTTACTCCTATGACACAAAAAAGTAACATTTGTGAAAATCTAGGTGTAATACCTCTGTAAGTAAGGATAGAAGGATGAAGTTATTAGAAGTATCACCACGATTTAAAAACACTGTTTGATCCCCCAGGGGACCAAATGCATGGATAATGTGGTCCCATTCTTATCCATGGCCACACTGTGCAATAAAAGCATGTTTTTGTCTGTTTCTACTAGCTGTCAGCTCCACCCCAGACTGAAGCCCTATTTATGGAGCATCCACTATCAATGTGCTGTACATTTCAGTGCTGTCTGATGACCCCCATGTGACAGTCCTGGACTCCTGAGTGGACAATTGCCAAGCACCAGTGCTATCAAGTGGGACGAAGGCGAGTGAGATGCATGCACCTCCAGACTGCACTCATGTCTTCTCTCACTCACTGCTCTCTCCCCACTAACAGCATGTTCCTTTTTGGCACATGTGCACTGTAACATGCATGCTCCTTGTGCTGCTTCTCCCCTCCGCAATCTCAGCCTTTTGCAGTCTCTGTACTGCAGAGCTGATACATCAGGTACTGACACTGCTTTTACTCAAAACATTCATTTAGCCCCCATTTATACTTTTGGCCAAGGGGGTGGCAAAAAAAGGTGCACTGCGGTTTTACCAATCCCTGACTCCTAACTTTAACCTTTCAGGCTGGCCGGCTGGGACAGTACACATGCTGCAGTGCTTTGCTTCGCAGCTGCGGTAAAAACTAGACCCCATGTTAGGTTTGGCAGGCAGTAGCACTGCCAAACATGACTCGTTCAAGTGAACGGAGCCCCGCTGCAACTGCACGCATTACACATGACTGCGGTGTGCTCCATTCAGTTGAATGAGTCAGGTTTGCCAGTGGTACTGCAAAGCATCACAGCCGTGGCATATGTACCATCCCAGCCAGCCAACATATAAGGTTAAAGATGGGGGTAGTAAAACCACGGGTTTCAAGGCTTATAACTGGCAACCAGGAGGATTCCTTTTCAGATGGCAATGCAAGTGTAAACAAGCCCCGAATGGTTTATTAAAGTGTTACTAAACCCAGGGCCCTGCATTCACTATATCTGGTCTCCCCGGACCCTGCATTCACTATATCTGGTCTCCCCGGACCCTGCACCCACTATATCTGGTCTCCCTGGACCCTGCATTCACTAGATCCGGTCTCCCTGGACCCTGCATTCACTAGATCCGGTCTCCCCGGACCCTGCATTCACTATATCTGGTCTCCCCGGACCCTGCATCCACTAGATCCGGTCTCCCAGGACCCTGCATCCACTAGATCCGGTCTCCCTGGACCCCGCATTCACTAGATTCGGTCTCCCCGGACCCCGCATTCACTAGATCCAGTCTCCCCGGACCCCGCATTCACTAGATCCGGTCTCCCCGGACCCCGCATTCACTAGATCCGGTCTCCCCGGACCCCGCATTCACTAGATCCGGTCTCCCCGGACCCCGCATTCACTAGATCCGGTCTCCCCGGATCCCGCATTCACTAGATCCGGTCTCCCCGGACCCCGCATTCACTAGATCCGGTCTCCCCGGACCCCGCATTCACTAGATCCGGTCTCCCCGGACCCCGCATTCACTAGATCCGGTCTCCCCGGACCCCGCATTCACTAGATCCGGTCTCCCCGGACCCCGCATTCACTAGATCCGGTCTCCCCGGACTCTGCATTCACTGTATCTGGTCTCCCCGGACCCTGCATTCACTATATCTGGTCTCCCACAGTACACACAGCATGGAAATGCAATTATTTTAGTAAATATAAACCGCTAAATACCTTTTCTTATCAGCAGTTAGAGCAGTCTTCTGACTTCTACCAGTGTCCAGCAGAACACTAGTTAAAGCTTGTAGGAGGAGTTTTAATTTTGCTCCAGGAGGATGCAAGATCCCTGACCTCTGTCTGAACAGTGCTGATTGTTCCTTTGCTGATCACATGCACTCCCCCCCACCCCAAAAAAACACTCTAGCAATATACACCAAATGGAGCACGTGCAGAGTGACTCCACACAATATGTCTTCGGAAATAAGAGGGGGGCACTGTAAGAAGGGGAGGATCACAGAAGTCAGGATCAAACAGCAGGAAATCAAACAATGCAGAGGATTAACTCCTTAAGTTCCTCAGTGAGTATAACAAGCAAGCTTTACTGCATTTACAAACTGATTTTACTGTTGTGGGTTTAGTAACACTTATCTGCTTTATGACCACCCAATACGTGTGTGTGGTGGCAGAGGGGTGGGCTTTAACGCTTACACACTGCACATGTGCGTCACTGGGCACCCGAATGCCTATGAGCATGCTCCCGCCACAAAGACCAAATCGAGTATCGGTAGCCGGAGGGACCGGCTTTTGATTATGTAGCCATTGTGATCACTGATCCTTGATGATCCCCAACCGACCACCTGGGCATTCACAGCTATTTAAAGGGACACTGGGGCAGGAAGGGGTTAATGAACACATACCTGTACTAACTGGTCTACGTGGAATTCAACTTTTTTTAAAACAAATAAGATTTTTGTCTATTTCACGGGGGCTTTGGCCTTGGGCACTGACCTCTCATATTCGTCGTTGCAGAGGAAGGTCCCGAACTGAGAGGCATAGGCGTGCTCAAAGAGCGTGATGAGAAAGCGGTCGTTAAACTGGAAGGAACACGGGAAACTGGCGGAGGATCTGCCACACGCAGTCCAGGAACAGGAGGAAAGTCGGGGCCTCCCATTTCTGCTTACTGTTGGAGTACGCGGACTGTGTGCAGCGATGCCGGAATGGATGACCAGCCTGAAGAAAAAGACCAGAATTACTGAAAGGATAAAACACCATGTTTTATCTGTGAGCGATAAATAAAGGACAGGATTGGGATTTAAACTACTTTGTAGACCTACATTGTACACTTGGGTATCAAGTAAATCTCCATAACAGGAATGTTAACTAATTTCGATAATTAGACGTGCTACACATGTCCAAAAAAGATGTTTGCAGTATGCGCCCTGCCCTTCTTACTGCTCCCCCCCACTTGCCAGCAAATCCCAAATGTGAAAATGACAGCCGGGAATAGCTATGTAATTACAGTGGCTTCAGAAGCTATTGCTGTAAAGAAAAAAAAAACAGATGTCTGACAGTGTTTATAAACATCGTTCGGACACCAGTGACTTTGTTTTGTATTTACTCATTCATTTGCAGATTAAAGGGATTAGCTTTAATCTGTACAGTGAAGGAAAAAAGTATTTGATCCCCTGCTGACATTGAATGTTTGCCCACTCACAAAGAAATGATCAGTCTAAAAATCGAATGTTCGGTGTATTGTAAAACTGAGAGACTGAATAGCAACAAAACATTCAGCAGAGATGCATGTCTAATAAATGATGCACTGATTTGCATGTTCATGAGGGAAATAAGTATTTGATCCTCTATCATCCAGCAGGATTGCTGGCTACCAGGTGTCTTTCATACAGGTAACAAGCTGAGATTAGAAGCAGTCTCTTAAAAGGAGTGCTGCTAATCTCATTTTGTTACCTGTAAAAGACGCCTGTCCACAGGAGCAATAATAACAGCTCCTAATTTTACAAAAACAGCCATACTCCACATGTTCACCTTCCCTAGATGCCTATACATCGAAATACACTTCATTCCATCTTCCCCCCTCCCATCTATATACACTCCATTCCATCTTCCCCCTCCCATCTATATACACTCCATACCATCTTCCCCCTCCCATCTATATACACTTCATTCCATCTCCCCCCCCTCCCATCTATATACACTCCATCTTCCCCCCTCCCATCTATATACACTCCATTCTATCTTCCCCCCTCCCATCTATATACACTCCATTCCATCTTCCCCCTCCCATCTATATACACGCCATTCCATCTCCCCCCCCCCCCTCCCATCTATATACACTCCATTCCATCTTCCCCCCTCCCATCTATATACACTCCATTCCATCTTCCCCCCTCCCCATTTATATACAGTGGGGCAAAAAAGTATTTAGTCAGCCACCAATTGTGCAAGTTCTCCCACTTAAAAAGATGAGAGAGGCCTGTAATTGGCATCATAGGTAGACCTCAACTATGAGAGACAAAATGAGAAAAATAAATCCAGAGAATAACTTTGGCTGATTTGGAAAGAATTTATTTGCAAATTATGGTGGAAAAGAAGTATTTGGTCAATATGAAAAGTTCATCTCAATACTTTGTTATATATCCTTTGTTGGCAATGACAGAGGTCAAACGTTTCCTGTAAGTCTTCACAAGGTTGGCACACACTGTTGCTGGTATGTTGGCCCATTCCTCCATGCAGATCTCCTCTAGAGCAATGATGTTTTGGGGCTGTCGCTGGGCTCCATGGACTTTCAACTCCATCCAAAGGTTTTCTATGGGGTTGAGATCTGGAGACTGGCTAGGCCACTCCAGGACCTTGAAATGCTTCTTATGAAGCCACTCCTTCGTTGCCTGGGCGGTATGTTTGGGATCATTGTGTTGTTGGAATACCCAGCCACGTTTCATCTTCAATGCCCTTGCCGATGGAAGGAGGTTTGCACTCAAAATCTCACGATACATGGCCCCATTCATTCTGTCCTGTACATGGATCAGTCATCCTGTTCCCTTTGCGGAGAAACAGCCCCAAAGCATGATGTTGCCACCCCCATGCTTCACAGTAGGTATGGTGTTCTTTGGATGCAACTCAGCATTCTCTCTCCTCCAAACACGACGAGTTGTGTTTCTACCAAACAGTTCTATTTTGGTTTCATCTGACCATATGACATTCTCCCAATCCTCTTCTGGATCATCCAAATGCTCTCTAGCAAACTTCAGACGGGCCCGGACATGTACTGGCTTAAGCAGGGGGACACGTCTGGCACTGCAGGATCTGAGTCCCTGGCGGCGTAGTGTGTTACTGATGGTAGCCTTTGTTGCGTTGGTCCCAGCTCTCTGCAGGTCATTCACTAGGTCCCCCTGTGTGGTCCTGGGAATTTTGCTCACCGTTCTTGTGATTATTTTGACCCCACGGGGTGAGATCTTGCGTGCAGCCCCAGATTGAGGGAGATTATCAGTGGTCTTGTATGTCTTCCATTTTCTAATTATTGCTCCCACAGTTGATTTGTTCACACCAAGCTGCTTGCCTATTGCAGATTCAGTCTTCCCAGCCTGGTGCAGGTCTACAATTTTGTTTCTGGTGTCCTTCGACAGCTCTTTAGTCTTCACAATAGTGGAGTTTGGAGTGTGACTGTTTGAGGTTGTGGACAGGTGTCTTTTCTACTGATAACAAGTTCAAACAGGTGCCATTGATACAGGTAATGAGTGCAGGACAGAGGAGCCTCTTAAAGAAGAAGGTACAGGTCTGTGAGAGCCAGAAATCTTGCTTGTTTGTAGGTGACCAAATACTTATTTTCCACCATAATTTGCAAATAACTTCTTTCCAAATCAGCCAATGTGATTGTCTGGATTTGTTTTCTCATTTTGTCTCTCATAGTTGAGGTCTACCTATGATGCCAATTACAGGCCTCTCTCATCTTTTTAAGTGGGAGAACTTGCACAATTGGTGGCTGACTAAATACTTTTTTGCCCCACTGTACACTCCATTCCATCTTCCCCCTCCCATCTACATTCCATCTTCCCCCCTCCCATCTACAGTCAGGTCCATATATATTGGAACATGGACACAATTCTAACATTTTTGGCTCTATACACCCCCACAATGAATTTTAAATGAAACGAACAAGGTGTGCTTTAACTGCAGACTGTCAGCTTTAATTTGAGGGTATTTACATCCAAATCAAGTGAACGGTGTAGGAATTACAACAGTTTGCATATGTGCCTCCCACTTGTTAAGGGACCAGAAGTAATGGGACAATTGGCTTCTCAGCTGTTCCATGGCCAGGTGTGTGTTATTCCCTCATTATCCCAATTACAATGAGCAGATAAAAGGTCCAGAGTTCATTTCAAGTGTGCTATTTGCATTTGGAATCTGTTGCTGTCAACTCTCAAGATGAGATCCAAAGAGCTGTCACTATCAGTGAAGCAAGCCATCATTAGGCTGAGAAAAAAAAAAACAAACAAACCCATCAGAGAGATAGCAAAAACATTAGGCGTGGCCAAAACAACTGTTTGGAACATTCCTAAAAAGAAGGAACGCACCGGTGAGCTCAGCAACAAAAACTATGGTGGATGAGCAAAGAATTCTTTCCCTGGTGAAGAAAACACCCTTCACAACAGTTGGCCAGATCAAGAACACTCTCCAGGAGGTAGGTGTATGTGTGTCAAAGTCAACAATCAAGAGAAGACTTCACCAGAGTGAATACAGAGGGTTCACCACAAGATGTAAACCATTGGTGAGCCTCAAAAACAGGAAGGCCAGATTAGAGTTTGCCAAACGACACCTAAAAAAGCCTTCACAGTTCTGGAACAACATCCTATGGACAGATGAGACCAAGATCAACTTGTACCAGAGTGATGGGAAGAGAAGAGTATGGAGAAGGAAAGGAAACTGCTCATGATCCTAAGCATACCACCTCATCAGTGAAGCATGGTGGTGGTAGTGTCATGGCGTGGGCATGTATGGCTGCCAATGGAACTGGTTCTCTTGTGTTTATTGATGATGTGACTGCTGACAAAAGCAGCAGGATGAATTGTGAAGTGTTTCGGGAATATTATCTGCTCATATTCAGCCAAATGCTTCACAACTCATTGGACGCCGCTTCACAGTGCAGATGGACAATGACCCAAAGCATACTGCAAAAGCAACCAAAGAGTTTTTTAAGGGAAAGAAGTGGAATGTTATGCAATGGCCAAGTCAATCACCTGACCTGAATCCGATTGAGCATGCATTTCACTTGCTGAAGACAAAACTGAAGGGAAAATGCCCCAAGAACAAGCAGGAACTGAAGACAGTTGCAGTAGAGGCCTGACAGAGCATCACCAGGGATGAAACCCAGCGTCTGGTGATGTCTATGCGTTCCAGACTTCAGGTTGTAATTGACTGCAAAGGATTTGCAACCAAGTATTAAAAAGTAAAAGTTTGATTTATGATTATTATTCTGTCCCATCACTTTTGGTCCCTTAACAAGTGGGAGGCACATATGCAAACTGTTGTAATTCCTACACCGTTCACCTGATGTGGATGTATATACCCTCAAAGTAAAGCTGACAGTCTTCAGTTAAAGCACATCGTGTTTGTTTCATTTCAAATCCATTGTGGTGGTGTATAGAGCCAAAAATGTTAGAATTGTGTCGATGTCCCAATATTTATGGACCTGACTGAATATACACTCCATTCCATCTTCCCCCCTCCCATCTATATACACTCCATTCCATCTTCCCCCCTCCCATCTATATACACTCCATTCCATCTTCCCCCTCCCATTTATATACACTCCATTCCATCTTCCCCCCTCCCATCTATATACACTCCATTCCATCTTCCCCCTCCCATCTATATACACCCCATTCCATCTTCCCCCCTCCCATCTATATACACCCCATTCCATCTTCCCCCTCCCATCTATATACACCCCATTCCATCTTCCCCCCTCCCATCTATATACACCCCATTCCATCTCCCCCCCCTCCCATCTATATATACCCCATTCCATCTTCCCCCCTCCCATCTATATACACTCCATTCCATCTTCCCCCCTCATCTATACACACTCCATTCCATCTCCCCCCCCCTCCCATCTATATACACCCCATTCCATCTTCCCCGCTCACCTGTAACCATTCCTTCTCAATCAATGCTTCAAAGCCACGGATGGTTCTGCATTTGGGATCCAGGATGATCTGGGCTAAAGACGTCACCTGTAATGTGGAATCCATGCCTTCTGAGCCATGGACCAACACTGACGCCCCCTCCCTAACAAAGACATACAAACATACCATTACTTGTACAAGACACAATTACTGATACAGATACAACTAATTAATACATGCTGTTGGGGCGCACAACATTCTCATATACAGTATCAGGGCAATTATGAAGTGGTGATTTGACATTTCCGTATAGCTGTCCAATATGGCAGTACGGCTATTTCAGTTATCAATGGGGCATCTCTTGTCACTACTGAATGCACCACAACATCAAGGGAGCAAGATTACTTAGCTGGATGCTTATGGCAGGGGGTCATAAAAGAAAGATTCCATCTCCTGAGATAGGACTTCACCCAGCAGTTTATTTATGGGGGTTATATCTGCCCCAGAAACTTAATTACAGTTCCTGGGAATACAATCACAATCAAACACCCTGAAGATACCCTGCAGTGCTGAGAACATCTGCTTGCTGTCAATCACCGAACGATAAAAGTACAGATTGTAACCTAATGGTGACCTAGGTCAAGGAACTTTCCTACAGTATGATGGCGATGATGTCATCAAGTGCGACATAATTGTAAGAAAAATGCACATTGGATGAAGGACCCTTAAGGGGGTGGTGAGGACAGCAAAATAAGGGGGGTGATGTGAGTATGTCAGCGAAGGTTGGGTCTTGTGGTCTATAAAAAAGGACTGGGTCATAGTCAAACTATTCCTGATGAGCCCCAGCCAAGATACAAGACGGGGAGGATAGACTTTCTACCCAACGTATTATCTTTGCACTTCCTGTAATTTTCATTTACACTGGCTTATGTACTTATTAGTATTTCACATATATATCAGATATTCATTCCTAATGGATGCATTATAGTCCGCTCACCGATCGATGCACTGTGCCGCCAGGCAGGCCGTGGTTAAAATCTCTTTGATGTGGTTCAGCCAGTTAGAGGCCTCCAACTTGCTAAGCCAGCGATCCATGTTATGAGATTGGTCATTGCAGGCCTCTACCAGTTTGATCAAACTTTCCTGCAGGATGTTAAATCTGAAACATAAAGAACACAAAAAACATAGAAAAAGATTTAAAAAAAAAAAAAAGAAAAAAAATATATTTTTTTCATGAGAAATCTGAGTCTCCTTTGCATCTCCGACTAAAGGGATTTTAAACATTTTTGAACTGCTTTCTATGGCAGCCTTTTTCAACCTGGGGTGCCTTCAGGCTTCTTCAGGGGTGCCTTGGCAAAATGCCTAAAAATTGTGTACAAGCCAGCCTTTTAGGTACACAAAACTAGAGGTTTTCATTGTGCCCCATTACAATGCTCTAGTCGCGCGACATAACCAATGATGTCATCAGTTGATAAGGAGGACGTCAGGCACATGCACAGCATCCTTGTTTGCCCCTCCCCCGCCCCTTTTTGTCCACACTGGGGTCACACTTGCTGAGTGAGAAACTGAGGGAGCAGCAGAGAAACAATAGTACCATGTGCAAAAGTGTATTTGTCAAATAAATCACCTCTAGTGTGCAAAACTATTTGTTTAGTTTTTTTACATTTGCTTTGGCCTCAAGATAAATCACCTCTACAGAATTTTAAAGTGCCTACATGTGTGGATGTTGTTTTTAAAGGGTGCCTCAAGATTGTGCGGAATTTTAAAGGGTGCCTCAAGATTGTGCCGAATTTTAAAGGGCTTTTAAAGGGTGCTCAAGATTGTGCCGAATTTAAAGGGTGCCTCAAGATTTACATTTTTGTAAATTTTAAGGGTGCCTCAAGATTGTGCCTCAAGATTGTGAATTTTAAAAGGGTGCCTCAAGATTAAAGGTGCAAGATTGTGCCGAATTTTAAAAGGTGCCTCAAGATTGTGCTGAATTTTAAAGGGTGCCTCAAGATTGTGCTGAATTTTAAAGGGTGCCTCAAGATTGTGCGAATTTTAAAAAAGGGTGCCTCAAGATTGTGCCGAATTTTCAAATTGGGAATTTTAAAGGGTGCCTCAAGATTGTGCCGAATTTTAAGGGTGCCTCAAGATTGTGCCGAATTTTAAAGGGTGCCTCAAGATTGTGCCGAATTTTAAAGGGTGCCTCAAGATTGTGCCGAATTTTAAGGGTGCCTCAAGATTGTGCCGAATTTTAAAGGGTGCCTCAAGATTGTGCCGAATTTTAAAGGTGCCTCAAGATTGTGCCGAATTTTAAAGGGTGCCTCAAGATTGTGCCGAATTTTAAAGGGTGCCTCAAGATTGTGCCGAATTTTAAAGGGTGCCTCAAGATTGTGCCGAATTTTAAAGGGTGCCTCAAGATTGTGCCGAATTTTAAGGGTGCCTCAAGATTGTGCGGAATTTTAAAGGGTGCCTCAAGATGTGCGGAATTTTAAAGGGTGCCTCAAGATTGTGCGAATTTTAAAGGGTGCCTCAAGATTGTGCCGAATTTTAAAGGGTGCCTCAAGATTGTGCCGAATTTTAAAGGGTGCCTCAAGATTGAGCCGAATTTTAAAGGGTGCCTCAAGATTGTGCGGAATTTTAAAGGTGCCTCAAGATTGTGCCGAATTTTAAAGGGTGCCTCAAGATTGTGTGGAATTTTAAAGGGTGTCTTAACTGAAAAAAAGTTGAGAAACACTGTGCTATGGTATAAAAATACAAATTCCAATTTAGATTTGCATCCCTGCTGAACAGTTACAACAAAAAAAGCAAAGTAGTGAAATTTAATATAGGATTTTTGTATTCACCGTAAAAAAAAAAAAAAAAAAAAAAAAAAAATCCATGTCATAACCACTTGACTTCCGGGGGGCTTTCATGACCACTGCACTTTTTGCTATTTAGCTCTATGCTATTTTAACTGGCAATTGCGCTGTCTTGCAACACTGTACCCAAATGAAATTTATATAATTGTTTTCACACAAATAAAGGATTCTTTTGGTGGTATTTAATCACCACTGTTTTTTTTTTTTATTATATAAATGAAGAACATTTTGAAAAAAAACAAAACAATAGTTTCTTATTTTCTACTTTCTGGTATAAAACATATCCAATAAAAAAAAAAATAAAATGAATAAATGTATTCATAAATTTAGGCCAAATGATTTCTGCTACATGTCTTTGGTCAAAAAAAAGTCAGAATAAGCGTATATTAATTGCTTTGTGCACACAAGTTATAGCGTCTACAAAATATGGTATATATACTGGAATTTACGCAGCTAAGATGCTATACTGGTAATAGTGATGATCAGCGACTTATAGTGTAGTGGGCAATTTGGTGCTAGCTGACGCTGGCTGGGAGGTACACTGACATCAACAGTGACACTAATACAGTGATCATTGCCAATATTGTACATTGTACGAATGTCACTGGATGAAAGAGGTTAACATCTAGAGGCAATCAAGGGGTTAACTGTGTGCCTAACAATGTGTAATGTGTGCTGCTTTTACTAAGAGACTTGGCTGATTTTTTTCTCCCTGCTTAGCAGGGAGAAGAAACAGCCAGACTGCTGCTCTGAATACCAAGCTACAAAGTCAATCAGCACGTCCTGTCCATAAATTATTGGCCGGGACTTGCTGACAAAATTCCGCTGTGTCTAACCACAGTGAGGGGCAGCAGGAGGTGCCAAGCCTGCAGCTGCTGCCTGGTCACAGTAAATCTACTGTGACCGGGTAGCAACTCTTAAAGTCTAAGAGTTCTTAGAGTCCCCTGAGAGACAAAGGAATTTAGATACAGTAGAGTTATTCAGCTGACTACAGGATGACTGGACAGAAAAATTGTAAGGCAGCCCCCAGTATAACCTCCCTCTGCCAAACAAGACTGTTCCTAAAGAAATGAACAAATACACAGGGGGCAGGAGCTGTGTCCTTCAATGTACTCCAAGAAATGGGTTTTATGATAAGTACAGAAGTCACATTTTCTTTCCACTATATTGAGAGACACCAGGGATCAGGTTGTGACGTGACAACAAAAAGAAATCCAACTAAGGAGTGGGCATCACAGCAAAAAACAGGCCTCATTAGGAGGACTTGGGACTGTCTGCAGCCAAGGAGATGCCTAAAGTAACAAAACCTGAGTTGAAGAATGAATGACTGAGAATACCCCCCCCCCCCCCCCACTACTAGATAGGAGAACCTACTACCACGACAAAGGGAAGAACACAGGATCAATCTCACGTCCCAGAACAAAATGGAGATGGCCACTGCCTGAGGGGAATGACTTCACAAGGAAGAGAAAAAACAAATCTGGAGTCAGAAAAAAGTTCACCAATCAAAACAGGAGAAATAATTCTGCAACAACTTACCAACAACCTAATGTGGCCATTTGCAAAAGCATGTGGAGAAGCCCCAGAAGACACAATATAGGTTTCAGGGAAAGGAAAGAAAAAACAGACAAGTAGACACGAGCCAGGTTTGCCTAGGGAGGCCAAAGGTCTCTCATCTCCAACCATACAGGTCAAGGGCAAAAGACTTGTTGACTAAAGAAGGATGTCTAGCCAGATAACCAACCTTGCTATGTGAGGTAGACCAGAGAATGTATGGTATTAGTACACCTCAATAACTCCCCCCCCCCTTCCCCAGGACGTGAAGGGGACCCTGAGCCACACTGGAGAACCCAAGGGTTTGATCTCACAAAGTTAATGTGACAGGGGAAGAAGGTGCATGGAAGTCACTGCCACAAGGGCTGGAACAACAAAATTATCCTCAGAATGGTGAGCTGGAGACCACCAAAAGAACAGGGTGAGAGCTAAAACATTCTCTCCTACACTCCTAGGCGACACTGGGGCCTGAAGAGTCTGGCCAAAAGTATTCAGCTATAGATCTAGGAAGCTCCTGATTCCCATAGACGTACAAACAGCCATGGAGCGAGGGACAGGAATGTTAGCCCAAAGAGCAGGAGAGGGAAAGAGATCTGATTGAAGAGATCTGAGGGACCTTCCACAGCCAAGTACCAAGTAGGGAGGATCAATCCAATGGAAAAGAGGTCCCAGAAAGTCCTTCAAACCTAACCCTTTCCCAGCAGAAGTCACCTGGAGCAGGAACCTAGGTGTCCCTCCTGCTGACAATCCAAGGATACACAGGGCTCTCCATCTCTAAACTCTGCAAATCACAAAGGATCGAAGGTGCACCTAGGTGCTCACACATCTCCTTTAACTACAACTTTTTAGACATTAAGCACTTTAGGAGGACTGTTTAGGGGTCAAATAACCCTCCCAGTCACGGGGGTCTCCCATCCCTTTCCAGATGGTAAGGGATTGGAACCGACCGATGGTGTCTGCCTTGCCTACATTTCCTAATTTGAACTGCATCAGTTAGAGTCCCTTGCTGTAGATGGAGCTATTTGTTCCAGTGATTAAGCAGTAGTCCCAGGGCCGGAGGTACACTATGAACAGGTGGAAGACACTACCCCAGTCGCTGAAGAGAGAGGGCCTTATGCCTGCTCCAAACCTCAACCACAACTTCAGGAAGAAATGCTGAAGAGAGCTACAATAAACAATAGTCAAAAGGGGGGAGGGGACATCCTGGGGATGTCTCCCCCACCACTCTACAGTTTTTCAAATGGAGGTAAAAGAATGAACAACATACATGCTGACAAGGGAGCTATAGGTACACAAGGTGTGGATTTTTTAAGGTAAGGCTTAAGATGGACCTCCTTACCCACCAGTGACTATCATCATCGTCTTAGTCGACCCAGTTGGTCAAGGAACTCATCTGAATAGAAAGAACCTCGAGGGGTACCATATACCAGGATGGGCTGTTCATGTTCCAGGAACAGGAGATCCCCCAGATGAAGGGAGTAGAGGCAAGGGGCACAGCTCCAGAACCAAGCCAATACTAGAATGGGAGAAGAGGGTCTTGGGGCTGCGATAAACTGGGAAAGATGCAAAATTAGCAACAGGAAGGGGGGCCTGAAGCAAGAGGTTAGCCTGTAGGGTAAAGGAGAACTCTACACATGAGTGACAGTTAGGAGACCAGATAAAGGATGCTCAACCAGCCTCCTATGTGAAATTAGTTGACCTATGACTTCCAACCCTATGAGCTAAGCAAGAGTCAGGCTAAAGGGGCATCTACTACTGAAGAACAAGTGTGTGATTCAGCCATGCCTTTCCTAGATCACCTGCGACAGGGCAGGAGCATGCTTTGGTCTCCCATCACATTATGGATTGCGATGTTCAGTGCAGAACCAAAGAGACAATGTCCCATGAAGGTCAAAAGAGTTTTTGGATATGTGTTTGGTATCCCATGGATGTATGCCTGAAAATGTAGACTGCTTGCATTTGCAATCTGGGCGTTAGTCCCTGGGCACATACTGCCAAAAACCTTTGGATATGGCAGTATGCACCCAGGGAAAAATGCTTGGGGTGCAGACTGCTTGAATTCCAGACATTCACATGTACTTACATCAAAATAAAAATATGATTTATAAAAAACAACGCGCAGCATAGATGTAATCTCTGATTGAGCAAACACCAAGAAGGAAGACACTCTGTTTGTAATCTCCAGTTCTAGAAAGGTTTGGACATCTCAGCTGAAATTACATTAGCCTCCCTAACGGTCTGATTATGTCAGTATTTCTGTGCTCAAAGCGGTACTTTTTTTGCATGGAAATATGTATTTTTTTTATTGTAGGCCTGTACTTTTCTGGAATAACTCACTGAAATCTGTCCGAACAAGAGTCTAGTAAACATCCCGGGTATGTTAAAATTTGAAACACAAAATCATAAATTATAATTTAATAAATAATCATAAAAAAATAATAATATAATAATAAAATGTAATTCAATAATATAATCAAACCAAAAACACTGAAATTTGAAATAGAACGCCAAGTTCGCACATAACTGAGCTCAGTCGCAGAATTTTTTTCAGTGTCTGATGACAAATTTCCCCACCAATCATTATCACTCAATTCTGCAAGTGGTTCTGATTTACTATCGCTGTTCTCTAGCTGGTCTAAAACTGCTTTTGACCTAAAGGGACGCTTTTTGGACGCCATGGACGTTTCTCAGTTTCCAGGCAGAAAAAACAGTAAAAATGTAGGCAGGGGACAGGACAAAATGTATGTAAAATGGTTTGATACAGTAATGTTTTACTATGTGATTTTAGTGTATTTAGTGAATGTCGCTTTTTGACATTTTTAAATTTCCCGCCAGTTCCGTCCCCATATGTCCCGACGCTCACAGGGGACGGAACCCGGAAGACAGATGCCGGCATCGGCCGGAGGACATTGCCAGGTACACTGCAGGAGGGACATCGCGGGAGCAAAGGACAAGTGCAAAAGAGATCCCGGAGCAGCGCTGCAGGGTATTCCTGAGTGTAGCTCGGGTTACCGCTTGTGGTGCTGAAACTTTACCCCGACCTACACTCGGGAATACCGCCAGGGAGGTTAAAGTGTACATTACCCCTTAAAGTGAAATTAAACCCACGCATAAAAAAAATAAAAAAATGCCCTCTGATTGTATGTGCAGCATGTTAGCACATTATGGCAGACATACCCAAGTTATCCCCTCCAGCGATGCAATGTCAGTGCTCTCGGCTGTCATAGATGATTCCATCTTCTCCTGGACTTCCTTTCAGGTTCTGACTCTTCGGTCGTTTGATTGGCCGAGCTGCAATGATGTCACTCCTGTGGGAGTCACTTCATCATGACACAGAGCAGTGCCATAAATGTACGCCGAACTGCTTGTGTGTAGCTCAGTGTATACACTGTAAACACTGATAGGCAAGGAGAAGGGTTCTGTCATAAAACTCCTGCCTGTTAATGGTTTCTTTATTTTTTTAGGTTTCATTTCACATTGAATAAAATGTTGGTGACTAACTCTCTGCAATCTCAGATTAAGCTGAGCAAACTGTAGGAGATATCCTAAGGCCATAACATACATGGCGATCTAGCCAGTCCTCTTAGCAAACAACCCCTTTCATGTTTGTTAGTGACCACGGTGGGCACAGAAGTGGACCTGTCTTGGTGTGGTCAGTTTGCATCTCTTTTTCTAATGTGAAAGTTACAGGACACCAATTTTATGCAAGGCGTACATCCCTGCCTACTGTCCAAGATTGTAAGGTCTCCTGGGAGCTGTAACCTCCTCCGATTCATGGATCGGGAGTTTCCTAGATGCATAGAAAGGAACAATCAGGGTGGTCATAGACATATATAGATATACTGTATATTGCAGGGTCTCTAAACTTTCTAAACAAAAGGACCAGTTTACTGTCCTTCAGACTTTAGGTGGGCCGGACTGTGACCACTGTGAGTAGATGCCCCAGCATCAGCGGAAGAAGGTATCAGCCTTGATGGTCAGTGGGAGTAAATAAATTACACAGCATCTGTGGTCAGTAGGAAAAGGAATGATGCCCTATCGTTGGTGTCAGTGGAATGAATGGTGCTCTATCATTGGTGTCATTGGAATAAATGGTGCCCTATCATTGGTGTCAGTGGAATAAATTGTGCAACATCGTTGGTGTCAGTGGAATAAACGGTGCCCTATCATTGGTGTCAGTGGAATAAATGGTGCCCTATCATTGGTGTCAGTGGAATAAACTGTGCCCCATCGTTGGTGTCAGTGGAATGTTTGGTGTCCTATCATTGGTGTCAGTGGAAGGAACAGTGCCCTACTGTTGGTGTCAGTGGAAGGAATGGTGTTCCATCACTGGTGTCAGTGGTAGGGAGAGTGCCTTGCATCAGTGGGAGAAAAAAGGAGCCATGGGGCTCAGCTGAATTTACCTTTCAATGGATTTGTGGATTCTCCTCCATTGTGGGTAGTATGCTTCCTGCTCAAAGCCGCCCCCCCGGGCTCTGGCTTGCTGTGCCACATTCAGAGTACGGGTGTCGATAATGTAGCCACGCTTTCCTGGTCTTAACGTGGCGTTTATAAGCTTTTCGTCTTCCTTGCAGCGCCTGTTGTTGGTCCCGGTGAGAGGCTGACTGCTGCGCATCATCACCTGCAGAGAAGACGATCCGCAAATCGGTTAAAACGGAACTCCATCCTCCCCATTTCTAGTACATCCTCTCCTGTGCTGAAACTGATCAATTTCAATTTTTTAGCAAACTTGCATCTCCACAATATAGACCTTAAAGGTGAAGCAACTATCTTGATCATCATCATTCCCCGCTCCTCCTGATCCCTACAGTTGTTGGGCCACCTCTCACAGCTATTAGCTTTCACTTCTATCAATCAATTTTGCTCTTCATCATGTGAGGGTGTGATCCTTAGGGTTGTAGTCTGTCACTGTACTACTGTTCCTGAGCATTAAATGAAAGAACATATCCTAGGCATCCATTTAAACCCATGCATGCTCCTCCCTACTGCCCACTGGGTGCTGTAAACTTTATCTGTGCAATCTGCTGATCAGCAGATTGCACACCTATAGTCTGCAGCACCCAGTGACTAGCATAAAAGTGCATGCACATCTAAATGGATGCCTGGTAAGTGTTTTTTTTTTTTTTACATAATGCTTGAGGCAGGGGGCTGTGATGTTTACAGTAGCCTGCAGGCCAGCCCCTCCACCAAACTCAATCTTTTTTACTTTTTGTTAATCACATAGGGAACAATGTTCTCTAGGTGATGATTTTGGTGACAGGTTCTCTTTATTGAGACATCCAGCATTCAAAAGACCCTGGATGTCTCCCCTGTATTACACTGAATGTAATGCAGTGCACATCGCACCGCATTACATTCTTTCTCTCAACAGGAACCCGGAAGTGACATCACATCATCACTTCGGGGGGTCAAGACAAGAAGGGGAGGAGGAGACATGTCCACTCTCCTCCCTCCACTCTAGCTGACGAAGTGAAGCCCAGGAGGAGAGTGGGCGGGGGGAGGTTCACGCAGGGGAGAGCGGAGGCTGGCACTGAGTGGAATCAATCGGCGGTAGCGCTGCCGCCATCTGTTTCTGATAGGTGAGCCATGATGCTTGCCCTGAAGGTAAAAAAAAAAAAAAAAAACTACCTGCCTGGCGCCCCTAACTACATGTCCTGGGCGTCAGATGATAGGAATTCAACAACCCTGCATGAGGCTATACCTGGATCCTACAGAGATTGCACAGGCAGTCCAACTCCTCCAGCATGGCACATCAATATGTGACATTGTCAAAAGGTCTTAAGAGCATGGAGGAGATTCCAGGAGACAGGCAGTTACTCTAGGAGAGCTGGACAGGGCCGTAGAAGGTCCTTAACCCATCAGCAGGACTGGTATCTGCTCCTTTTTGCAAGGAGGAACAGGATGAGCACTGCCAGAGCCCTACAAAATGACCTCCAGCAGCCACTGGTGTGAATGTCTCAGGCCACCCTCATGAAGTCTGTTTCTGATTGTTTGGTCAGAGGGCCCGACGTCCTCTAGTGAGCCCTGTGTTCACTGCCCGGCACCATAGAGCTCGGTTCACATTTGCCATTGAACACCAGAATTGGCAGGTCCACCACTGGTGCCCTGTGCTTTTCACAGATGAGAGCAGGTTCACCCTGAGCACATGTGACAGACATGAAAGGGTCTGGAGAAGCCGTGGAGAACATTATGCTGCCAGTAACATCGTTCAGCATGACCGTTTTGGTGGTGGGTCAGTGATGGTCTGGGGAGGCATATCCATGGAGGGACACACAGAACTCTACAGGCTAGACAATGGCACCCTGACTGCCAATAGGTATCGGGATGAAATCCTTGTACCCATTGTCAGACCCTACACTGGTGCAGTGGGTCCTGGGTTCCTCTTGGTGCACGACAATGCCCGGCCTCATGTGGGGAGAGTATGCAGGCAGCTCCTGGAGGATGAAGGAATTGATACCATTGAATGGCCCCCACGCTCACCTGACCTAAATCCAATAAAACCCCTTTAGGATATCATGTTTCGGTCCATCCGACATGGCCAGGTTGCACCTCAGACTGTCCAGGAGCTCAGTGATGCCCTGGTCCAGATCTGGGAGGAAATCCCCCAGGACACCATCCGTAGTCTCATTAGGAGCCTCCCCCGACGTTGTCAGACATGCATACAAGCACGTGGGGGTCATACAATCTACTGAGGAGCATTTTGAGTTGCTGTAATGAAATTTCAGCAAAATGGACTAGTCTGCTACATAATTGTTTCACTTTGATTTTCG